TAGAGTGCTCTTTCATTTAAACTGTGAAAAATATGAGGTCAGTTTGATTTCATATTTTTCTAAAATTATATATATATACGTAAATTAAGAAATCCTTCCGAAGCGGGCGACGGGATTTCGATTCCGGCGACCGACAGCTTCTTACGGGCGACCCCCAAACATTAAACTCTTTTCCTCTTTTAAGCGCCGACAGAAGCTGGATGCATCACATATCGCTGATTTGTACTTTAGAGAGGTTGTGAGACTACACGTGATATCTAGGACCATCACTTTCACAAAGTTGTTAAGTTTCTAAGTCATTTTTTGAGGACCTTAGGGGGAAGCCTAACACTAAAATTCAATTCTATTCAATAGCTCACCCATAGACAAACGATCAGATGGAGGTGGTAAACAGGATTCTGGGGAATATTTTGAGGTGCTTTGTGGGAAGTAATATTAAGCAATGAGATTTGATTCTAGCCCAAGCCGAATTTGCGTACAACAAATTTGTGAGCCAGACAACGTGACACACTCCATTTGATATTGTGTATGGGCGCAACCTCCTCAATCCACTTGACTTGGTACCACTCCTTCCAATATCAAAGATCAATGAAGATGTGGAAGAGGGTGCAAGAGATTCAGAGGTCACACAGAGATGGGAAATGAGACTACCAACCAGATCCGCAAGTACAAACAATCAAATAGAAAGAGGAAGAATGTGACCTTCCAAGAAGGGGATCTAGTGTAGATCAAATTGAAGAAAGAAAGGTTTTTGGTGGGATCCTTTGGCAAGCTCAAGCCTAGGGTAGATGGACCCTTCAAGATTCTCAAAAACCGGAGTGACAATGTTTACAAGATCGACCTGTCAGAGGATTACAACATTTTGGCTACTTTCAATGTAGCAAGTTTGACTCAGTGCTATGAGGAATCAGAAGCGTCGAATTCAACAGACGAGATCATAGTTCCTTGAACCCCGCGAGCCTGATGCAGGGGTGTCCAGGCCCAGCGCGGGAGCACCCAAACCACATGGGTTTGCAATTGTTACATGAGTTCTACTCAATCCGAGCGGAATTGGGATTGGGCGAACCTCCATAGTGCATAGTTCCCTCCTATTTGGAGTGGGGTCTGCTCTTTTTTACCCTACGACTATTTATATGTTATTTTCTGTGTTCTAGTGGAGATTTTGTTTTTGATATTTCTACCTTCGACGTCGTTCTCCATTGCTAGGGTTACATCCGAGGATAGGTGGTGCTCCGACTTTATCCTGCTTCAAATTGGTGGTTATCTACTCATGCTCTTACCCTTTCACGGTTCCCCTTGCATGCTGCCCCCTCCATAGCCGCTGCTCACTGCCGAACCTTTCTTGCTTTCCCTTGCATACCCTCCATAGCTGCTGCTCACTGCCGAACCTTTCTTGCTTTCCCTTGCTTGCTGCCACACCTTCCCATAACACTGTTTCCTCTACCTCGACCGTAGCCCTCCTCTCTCGATCCTCGCCCTAGAGAGTCCTTTGCGTTTGTTTCTTTCTTTTCCTTTTATCAAGTATCTTTGTTTGTAATTTTTTGAATTTTAACAATAATATTTACCTTCCATTGCTATTTTCGTTTAACTTTAGTGTCAAGGGAGTTTTCTAGAAGATGAAAAAAACTTTTTCAAGGACTTAAAGAACTTAATTTGGATAACAAAAAAGGCAACCAAGATTGTTTTCTTGCATTTCTTCCCAGTGTTTGATAATGGTTGTCTTGATAGGTTCCTGCATAATTATCAATTAGTAGTTCTCTATACTTGGGAAAATTTTCTGTCCGAACTCCGGATGTAGCTCTACATACGGACTCCAATAATATGCCGCCACGTATACTACATCGCGGAGGTTATTGTGAGATTATTGAAGTGGAATTGCGGAAATTATTTCACGGTTATTTTGTGGTTATTTTGGGGTTATTGAAGAGAAACTCATATATTCCACTTCAATAACCCTGAAATAACCTCCGCGGTTCCACTTCAATAACCCAAAAATAACACTGCGAAAGTTATTTCAGGGTTATTGAAGTGAAATATATGAGTTTCTCTTCAATAACCCAGAAATAACCTCCGCGTTATTATTTTAGAGTTTTTGAAGTGGAATCGCGGAGATTATTTCGGGTTATTGCGGAGTCCGCGGTTCCACTTTAATATTTTTTAGGTGGGCCCGATATAACACACATTGCGGTATATTACTGGGAGTTGCACATAGAGCTACGTCCGACCTTCATATGGCGGAGTTCGGACATAAAATTTCTCCCTATACTTGGGATGTTACTGGACTCACTTTTGTGGGCTTGAGAACTTGTCCGTCCTTCCTGCACTTTTATCACACTTTCCAACAAACACACTGTGTGTAAACAAGGTGCATTACATTTTTCCAGCCTAATGCATGTGCTTTTCCTACTATCTTATGTTGAGCCATCCTATACATTTCAGTAGCTCATGGTAAATTCCACTGTCTACACCCATTACAGTATTCTCCACATAGTAGCATCTAATATCATCATTAAATATTCTAATTGCAAAATATAAAATGACATGAAATTCTTACCAAAAATCACAAACGAAGTTGCGACGTAAAAAAACTCGTTTTCAATATTTACAATGACTATAGAATTAATGCTTGCTTAAGTTGGCCCCTTATTTACTTCCTTATGCTTACTTTTTTCTGTTTAAAATTTGTTTTTGCTCGTCATAATTCTGTTTTTATATGTAAGTCAAATTAAGAAGGCAGAAGTTCCAATGAAGTTACTATATGTAATTACTCTGGGATCTCTTTTCAGATTGTATAGGTCTTCAGAATCTACAAATCAAAGGATATCTTTTGATATTGAACCTAATGGAAGGCATCTTGGTACAGGTGGACAGGTAATGTTACAGGCCTGTCCCTTTTATGTAATTTTCTTATCTTAAGAAATTACATTGTTAAATGTCAGCTATTCAAATAGGATGGTATAGTTCACATGTATGACCTTCAATCAGGAGAGTGGGTGTCAGGGTTTCAAGCTGCTTCTGGTACACTGCTTCAGACTGAAAGTTCTGAATTGTTTTTGTAAGCGTATGAAATTTCTAATCTTATTACACGTTTTTTTTTGCTAGACACTGTTAACTGTTTCTCCTTCCATCCATCTGTGCCATTGGCTGCAACATCTTCCGGACATCGTAGATTTATCATGCCTGATAATGAGGAGGAGATAAGTAGCTTAAGCGGTATCCTTCTACTAATATATCTGCTATCCATGCATGTTTTTATTATATATTATTATCATTGTTTGTATCTTATATGAAGAAAAGTGCTTTATTTGCAACTCTTAAATGTGCCGTCTCAATGAACCCATATTCATGGCCCTATTTAAGTAGAAATTGCTTTTACTTAAATGAATGTTGTGTTGTTTGTTCTAGTTTTAGATGGGGCTGTTATAAAAAATTTTAATGGATGATGGAAGAGCTTTTGTTTTTATTTAAAGAAATGTTTAAACGTATAATTAGCTGGATTGAAGTACACTTATCCATAGATAAAGGCTTGTCCATACAGTTTAGTTAGGCCTAGTTAGTACTTGTATTGGTCCTTCTAGTACATTTTGTACTTTTAGGATTCGTGACTACCTCTTGTTATTATGAGCGAAGCTTCTCAATTTCAGTTGATATAATGTATTATTATATGGAGTTAAGTCCAGTTATCTCTACGGACAAACTGATACCAAATGACCATCTTATGGATATTCAATGGTTTTGGTTAGAAGCATGGGTTTAGTGGTAGGGGAAGGGGTGGGGCATGTTGTTTTTTTTCCTGTGATAGATCATCTCCATCACATTAGCCTTATCTAATTATGTACGATTAACTTTATGAATCCTTATTCTGCAATTGTTTTTGCCAATCATTGCATGAGTTGTTAAACTTTTTCATACAACGTTGGTTTATTTCACCTTTGTTGTAGCTTTTTTTTCCCCTCCTATTCTTGTGACTTAAATTTTGTGTAATGATCTTTTTATTTATGCATTTTGCGATTTATTTTATGCCCAAAAAACCCAAGTTTATTTTTAATATCTTATTTTCAATAGATTTTGCTCTTATTATTCTTACAATATGATTATTTCTTAATATATCATTCCTGGTTTTGCCACATTCATTTTAGCTCTTTTTTTTTTTTGCAATACTCAGCTTGATTTATGACTTTTTTATCTTTTAACACTGATTCATAAAACGTAGCCTTCTTACTTGCAATTTCACAAACTTTTCATTTAAAATTCTATATACTATTCTCTTATCAGATAGTACTTTTGCAATACATCTATTTTAGTTAGCCAATCTTATCTTTATCTGTATCTCCATTTTTCTTTATGTATTTCAGTCCATCACAACATTAGCTTATAATTATTTGCATCAAATACCTTAAAATTGTATGTTTGTACGTTAATTTTTTTATTTTATTAATCCTTTCTTCTTTATCATTTTTATATTTACTCTTTTATTATAACTTTTTTATCACCCAGTCCGGGGCTTAGAATTGACTAAAATGAGAACAAACAGTCGGACAATGAAATTAAATTTTTAATTATTTTATTTATGTTACTGATAGTTTAATATCTAAATATTAATTGAAAGAGTCATTAATACTTTAATGAACAATTAAAACCATTCTAATTGCTGATCTTGGCTGCTATATTCATTAGCTCTATTATTCTTATTCAAAGCTTAAAACTTGGAAAAAAATATTAAAATAACATAATGAGTTATTTAAGATAACCGAGTCGAGCAATCACACTTCTAAACTGACGTGGGGTGTGGATTTCGCGTTCTGCGGAATCACAATAGGACTGTGAATGTGAGAGCGAGGCTGAACAGTCTTGTTTTTTTCCTTTTTCTCTACAAAATTCCTTATTCCATTCCTTTCTTTTCTTGTTATGTCCAATAAGTGCTGTATTAGGGTTTGGAGGGTCAGATTTGTCATGATTTTTGTTCGGGACAGCCGCCGGCTTCTTCGTTTCTCTTTTGAGGGCTATATCTAAGGGTTAGCTTCTCTGTTTTTCTTTCTCCAAATCCTCTGCATTCCTCCCCCCCGCCCCCCCACCCGGCTTTGTTGCCACGCATCTCTCTTTTGTTGTAGCCGACCAAAGCAATTCCTGGTTGTTTTTTCGCAGTTTTGACCGTCATTGCCTCCTCCTCCCCCTCTTCGCCGTCGCTACTGTCCTGGCCTCCCGCTTCGCTGCCCGACCATCCACCTCCGCTGTCGTATCCCTACAAATCCTTCCCTTTGCTATTTTACCATTATCCAACTATCTAGCATAGTTGCCGCAACCTTGCAACTCCTTCCCTTGCTCTTTTACAGCTGTCCAGCCGCCTGACATTGTGGTTGCAGCACCACAAATTATTCTCTTTGCTGTTTTACTGCTGTTCCAACCATCCACAAGCCTTACCACACCTCATCCACCTCACATAAACCTTTCCTGCCGTCACCCTCCAACATCTCATTCTACCCATTCCAGCCACCACCACCATTTCCAGTCCATCTAGCCAACCTCCATCATTCCTGGATCAACCTCTAGTTGAGTTTGTGTATCAAGTTTTCTGTTATTTCTTATTTCAGTGTGTTCGTTGTAATCTCCTAGTTGCTTTTAGTAATAATATTTGATTTTCTATTGTTGTTTGGGTTAACTCCTAGTCTAACCCTAATCCTATCTTAGGGTTTATAGCATCCACCAAAACTCAATCCTATTTTCACCCAAAAATCTTCTCTTTGCTGATTAATCAAGCCAGTCACTCAATAGCCAGAAGCAAATTTCCTTTCCCATCTAACACAACCCCTATGCACCATGCCACCGAGGAAACAATAGCCAGAAGCCTGATCGAGGTGAAAAAACACAATCATTTATGAAAGGCCCACAAAGATGCATCCGAGAGATTGGAATTTGTCTTTGACTGCCAGGATGTTCCACCGGACAAAATGACGAAACTAGCTGCTAGCAAGTTAAGGAAGAGTGCATCTCAGCGGTGGATGAACCTAATGAGTCTTCGAAAATGATTAGAGAAGAGTAAAATTATTACTTGTTCTAACGATGAAATAAGAGATACAACACAAGTACTTACAAGTTCTTTATATATATAGGATGCTCAAACCTTAGCTTCAAGGCGGAGAGACAAACTCACCGGGTGACCGCCACATCTTACACACAGAGTTCAACTCCAAGATCAAGTAATAAGAGTATACCCATCGGAATATTCAAGCCGACACCACCAGAGGAGACAATTATTCAAAGTGGAGAACAGGTAAAATCAATTTGCATTTGCAAATCTATCCCAGTTAGGAAATGTTTCAAGTGCCATATATTTAGTCATATTTAATCAGTTTGCACAATAAAAAACAAATGATCTCTTTCATTGATCATGGAGCAGTTGAAGAAATAAATAGTGATCCAGTAGTTGATGAAGATTTCAGAGAAAATTCTCAACTTCCAGTCGATAAGGAAGAGACAAGCAATTCCTGTTAATCCTATGAGAGCGACTCTAGCTGAATTAATTGTAATTGTTCTGAAAGAGAGTGAGTTTGAGGTAATTGACATTCATGCAAAGTATGACATTGTGAGGCATTGAACTACCTTGTTGCATGCGTTGAGAAGAGTATCAACCAGACTGACATTGGATGTTCAAAATGGTCATAAGTTTGAGGAACCGACACCAAAAACATGATAACCCCAGATAAGACAATTTCAAACTTGTAAGAAATATAGTCTACTTCCTGAGTTGCTCCTACTGAGGGAGGTCCAACATGTCTGAGATAAGATTTTTTTGCGATACTTAAGGAAGACTGTGGAGTCATTCAAATATTTAAATCAGTTTAGCAGTGTACCTGCCGATAGATGATCAGGCGGGATGGATGAACCACGACGTTGAAAATCACTTTAGGATCTTTTGGGGAAATAACTTTTTACAGTGATATCTAGATCCTTTTAGAGAAGAAAGAAAAGGTCCTTTCTGAGATTTACTTCAATGCGGTACAGCTTGCCATTGATTCCATTTCAGAGTTGATTCCTTCTAATAGATTTAGTTATCACATATATTCAGCCGAGTATATGGGAGAAGAATGTTACAAACTTATGGGCTAAAGCGTTATTTTGTGGGAATCAACAACTATATGCAGCTCCAACTTAGGTTGTGTCAATAAAGAATGTATATTTATTCTATCATGATGTGCTTTGGAATGATAACACTTGCAGGAGTAACTTATTGGGAAGTTGCTATAGTTTCATCACCTTCACCGTGGTTGACTTGACACCATATCATGGGAAGTCAGAAGCTTCGACGAATTAAGTTGAAATTCCCTCGAACTCCAGGAGACTGACGCAGGTCATGTATCCCATGTTTCGCAGAATTGTGGTAGAATCACGATCGCAGGAGACGGGCCAAACAATCTCATTTTTTCTTTTTTCTTTACAAATTTCTTTCTTTTATTCCTTCTTTCTCTAGTCGTTTTCATTTGTATGTGTCGTATTAGGGTTTGGAGAGTCAGTTTTGTTGTGTGTTTTGTTCGGGGCGGCCGTCGGCGTCTCCGTTTATCTCTTTAAGGGTTGTATCTAAGGGTCGACTGGTGTTCCGACTGTATCACACTTTTGAAATGATGTTTATCCTTCTCTAACTTCTCCGCATTTCCCCTGCTTTACTACCACACATCTCTTTGTTGCTGCAGCCCGAAAACAACCATTTTTTGGCTGTTTCTCTGCAGCTTCGAACGTTGCCGTCTCCTTCCCCTTCCTCTTTGATGACGATGCTATTCCCAACCTCCCGCTTCGTTGTCATTTATTTCCCAGCTTTCCACCTCCGCTGCAGCAACCCCTACAAATCCTTCCCTTTGTTGTTTTACCAATTTCCAACAGTTCAACATCGTTGTCGCTGCCCCACAACTCCTTCCCTTTGTTTTACTATTGTTGCAGCTGCCCACAAGCCCATGTATTGACCTATAATTGAGTTTTATATCAAATATATTAGCCCACCTAGACGACCCCCACCACCCATGTATTGACCTATAATTGAGTTTTATATCAAATATATTTATATATTTTTATTTTCCGCTTCAGTGTGTTGGTTAGAATCTTCTATTTAATTTCACTAATAATATTTTTGTTTTCAGTTGTTGTTTAGGTCAACTCCGATATCAAAAACTATAATAACTCAAGGAAAATAAAATAATATATATGCCAGTATTTCATGTTTCACTATCGAAATTTTGTAATAATTTAATGTATGTCTCAAGACATTTACTAAGTGGAAATAATGTGAACTTTGATATGCATTAATTTTAACTTCACTTTTCAACGTTTATACTTTCACTGTACTTTTATTTATACTCTTATTTTTCATATTCATCTTAGGAACACCGTCAAAACATAACATAACACACCTCTAACCGATATTATCTTGTAGGTATAGCGATCCATAATCTAAATTACATGATTGTCTGAGGTGGAAATGTGCCTACGTGTATTTGTTCGATATTCTTTCGTCGGCACAACGGTTTGAGATCTAAATAACATAATTGTTTGAGTTGGTAAAATGCCTACTTATCCCATGCTTTGCATGAAAGATGTGATATGAAAGATTTAGGTTGTGTAAAAGTAAAATAGTAAAATGTAGGTGTTGGATACATAAAAACATAGGAATTGGGTGGTATGCATGTAAATGCCCATGCCCTTTTTCTTTTCACCACCATGCATGAAAACTATGCAGGCTTGTTTTTGGACATATTTATAAAACTTTGCCATATTACAGAATCATCAAAATTGCATTTTTTGAGCCCTCTGAATTACTTCTGTGCAGTTTTGTAATTCCAATCGTTTGTTTTGTAGGTGACGAGAATTGTTTGTCAATCTGGAGCTTCTCTGGTTCAGGAGAGGTGGAGGATGACCTGCCTGTAAGAGACTGAAGCTTGGCTTTTCTTTCAGGTCATTTTTTTAGCTAAATCTAGTATGTATCATGCAATGTTTCGCTTGATTGAATGTTCTGAAAATCGGATCGAACATATAGTTCAATGAAAACGAGGTTCTGTTCGAAGATTCAATCAAAGAGTTGAACCGGGTGATGCAATAAATATTAAATTTATTTAAAATGTGATTTAAATTATTTAGTGATGGTTTAATTATGTGCAAATATTTAATAAAAATTTAATATAATTGTATCATGAAACTTAAAAAAACATATATAGGGTTAGATTCAATGATTTTAAATTTAAATATCTACTTTATTTAAATTTCTAACTTTATATTTAGGGCTAAGAATTTAGCACGAAGATAAGTAAGATTTTTATTTTTATTTTTAACTTATTTTGTTTTTATTTATTTTGAGCTTGATCAATTAAAGCGAGCAACTAGTGTTGATTTTAAGCTTAAATTGATCAAATAGCTTAGTTTGAGATAACTCATTTTGATTTGAAGTCAGATTGAGCTCGGTTTAATTTCGAGCGAAGGTGTCACATAATCAAATATAACGAGCCACAAGGTATTTTTGAACCATGTTCAAACCCGTTCGAGTAGCCCGTAACTCGGTTGGAAATCAAATCGTTCACAGCCCTTCTCATCATTGCACTTATGCGAAAAATCTAGATATTTCTTTTAAATTATGTATTTAGTATTTGCTTCTTTAAAGCTTTGATGATCTAAATGTGAAATGTAGATGAGAGTCAGGAGGATATTTAAAATGACTCTTGGTTGTATTTTGTAGTGATGTGAAATGGTCAGATTGTAAAAATATAAAAAATAAAATTTAATTATTTATTAGTCTCTAAGAACAAATATTATGAATTATATATCTTATATAAATAATATCGATTTAATTTTATGGACCATCTATTTATTTCAGTCAAATACTACATTTAATAAAAATTTAGATTTTCGGGACTTGTTCACAATAAAAATAAAATATAATAAAAATATTTAATTAATTTTTTGTTTATCTATTTTTCTACTACTACAACAACAAGCCTTAGTACCATTCAGTGGGGTTAGTTGCATGAATCCATATTTCTCCATTGAGTCCATATTTTCATTTGTTTAATAGATTAAGATCATTTTATATACAATATGCAAGTCTTATTAGGTTTGCCTCTGCCTTTCTTAACATAAGTTGAATCTAAAACATCTTTTCTAACCAGATCATCAGATGTTGGACCTGACCAAACCATCTAAGACGGCTCTCCCTAATCTTATGTGTCATTTGAGCTGCACCAACACTATCTCAAATATATTCTTTTCACATTTTGTCTCTAAGTGTCAAGTCACTTATCCACTTAAGCATTTTCATCTCAACAACACTTAACTTTGCTTAGTGCTTATGTTTTGAATGTCAACACTATGCGTCATAAAGTATTGCAGGGTCTCACCATTTTATAAAATTTTCTTTTAAGTCTAAGGGGTACTTTTCTATCACACAATATGCTCGATGCATTCCTCCACTTCAACCAGCCAACTTGAATTCTACTAATAACATCCATATCTATATCAACATTGCTTTGAACAATAAATCTGAGATGTCTAAAACGTTCACACCTTGATCATCCATAGTTACAACGCTGTCACTAGGGTTGCTAATACTAAAATAACATTCCATGTATTCAATTTTAGATCTACTGAAATGAATGCCTTTAACTCTAATTTAGACATCCATAATTCAAGTTTTTCCAAAACTCTTTCTCTAGTTTTATCCACAAGAAGGATACCACCTGCGAAAAGCATACACCAAGGTAGATTCTCTTGTAAATGTCCAATAAGAGTATTCATAACTAAAGTAAAAAGATATGGGCTTAAAGCTGATCTCTAATGTAATGAGGGGTGTAATGAGCCGAACACGAGCGAGCACAGGCTCAGCTCGTGTTCAACTCGTTTATATTTCGAGCTCAAACAGTGTGTTCGTGTTCGGCTCGTTTGCTTAGCGGCTCGTTTGTTTAGCGAGCCAAACACGAACCGTTCACAAACAACGAGTCTTTTTAACAATCCTACTCACGTGCCCATAAGACGATAAGGGTCTTAAAGATTGGAGCAAGATTTTAAACATCATTTGAATCTAATATAATAAATTTTATTCTATTTTCTTGATTAATACTTTTAATTATTTATAAATCTTTGTAGCCTTGTAGTCATTTTAATTTTTAAAAATACTAATATATATTCGGCTCATTAAATTAGCGAATGAGCTGAACACGAGCTTCTTAACGAGCCGAACACAAACTATTCTCGAACAATGAGCCAATTTAACGGCCCTAGATGTAATCCAATTGAAAAAGTGAAATACTTGGTCAATCCTCCTCGTGTTTAAACACAAGTAATAACTATAGCATACATATCTTTAATGACTTGAATAAAAGTCATATGAACACTTTTATTCTCTAAAACTGTCCAAAGGAGTTGTCTTGGAATCTTATGATAAGCTTTTTCTAAATCAATAAAAATCTTACGTAAATCCTCTTTATTCTCTTTGTTATTCTCCATCGAACCTGTCAATAAATGTATATCTTCCATAGTAGATATGCTCGACCTAATATTGTCATTGCCGGGTCCCAAGACCCAGACGCGAATGGAGGGTCCCGTCAAGCAGTGGACATTTAACGTAAATTATGTATCGAAAAGTCGTGTCATGAATCCCTTAAATCCTTTTTAATTTTTTATGTTGAATAAAAATTAAAATCAAACTAAAAACTCAAAATCTAATGTCAAGATTTTAAAAGAAAAAAAAAAACAAATAATTAAAAAAAATATTTTTGAAATCAAACCAAATCAACTAAACTTAGAAAATAATACACTCCTAATTATATGTGAATAACATCAAAATTGGAGGGTATTTATGCAAAATGCACCCCTCCTCACTTTGGCGGGAGTAGACGCTTATCTCGACACATCACCCGCTCATTTCTTATTTAGCTTGCTCAGAACGCTTCGTTCCGACAGTGCGAGAAACCGACAGTTGCAGTAAGCGACAGTCGCTATGCCGCCTAAGAAGAAAAAGACAACGCCGGCCACCAGACGGCCCCCCAGGTCTGCCGAAGGCCGATCAGGAGGCATCCGTTGACGAGAAGACTAGCGTCGCCGACGTTGGTAAAGAAGATGTTGAGGTTCTGTCACCAAGGGCAAGGGTGGCCTCTGTTAGGAACGCGAAGGTGGATGATGGTAAGGAGAAGCCGGAGGAGGGAAAGTTGGTCGGTGCTTCTTCACCCGCTGGAAACAGGGGTAGGGGTAGGGCTGCTAACGGTAAGGAGAAACGAAACGCTGAGATTGAGTTGCCGGAGTCCAAGAAGACGAAGAAGGTGAAAGAAGACGTGTTTGAGGATAAAGGGTCAGTTCCGGATGGATCAAAGCTTGTAACCAGATCTATCATCATCGAGGCATGGTGAGCTTCGCTCTTCCTTTACTTGTTTATCTGTTTTATGGGGCTTAGTTTCTTTGTTTGTTGATGTGTAAGAAGTTCTGGCGACCTAAAATTGATTCATATTCTATTTCCCTAGTTTTCCCTTTTTTTCCCTAAAATTCTTGTTCTTATAATGGCGTACTTGATGCTTCAAGATTTGGTTGGTTTGCATCTTTTGGCGCATGTTTGTTTCATTGCCCCTAATTTCTTTACTCATGTATTCCTAAATCCATTAATGGCTATCTTCTAGTTTTATTCAAAGATTATTCTGTTCTCTTCTTCTACACGGGAACAGTTTGTCTTTCCTGGCTGCGTTTACTCGTTTTTGCTGGCCTTTGTTTAAGTCAATATGCTCTCAAAATAATAATAATAATAGTAATAATAATAGTATTAAAACCAATCCAGTGAAATGGAAGAGGGATGGACTTTTATTCTATTTGCATTTGGTTTGATATCTGCTTCCAGAATGCATGTTTTCTATTGACTTTCCTGTGATTCTTTGAATTCTCAGTTTTCTGATGCCATGGTATTTGAACTTTTTCAGGCATATAACAGCGTTCGGTTTTCTTGTGGTCTTCTTATCTTTTTATTGCTTCTTTTGAATTGGTAGCATCATGTTATTGGAGGAATACTTGTATTGTGTGGTGTCAATTTGGATATATGGGTTTACTTCTGATTGACATGCTATCAAATCAAATTCAGTTTGTTTTAACTTAAAATAGACCATTTATTTAAAAATTTTATAACCGAAGATCGGACCCTGACCATGGTCTATTTATTAATATGGTTTTAACGTCTGGATTTGGCTTATCGAAGCTCTGGTAGCATGTTATTGTATTGGATGACACATTACCATGTTGCAAGTCATATTCAGTGATCAGTGGTTGATGGCCTGCAAGTGTGTTTATGGAATAAAGTTATTTTGTGTTTGCGTGCTTTCCACTAGCTCTTGTGGTTATTTTTTCTTCCCCACTTTTTTTTTTGGCCAAAAATTGAGTACAAATTTGAGAACCCAATTTGTCTCGGACATCCAAATTTGCCTAGACTAGGTTAGAGCGATTCCATTGATCAAAATAGAGCGAGTTCATGAAAAATAGGCCAATTAAGAGGGATCAATTCACCATAAGTAATAACGCTTCCACTAGTGGGTTCAAGTTGCCAAAACTATTTAACAATTATTTGACATTCAATATCCTCAAAATAGCTCAATATTTGGTACCAATCTTGAAGTCGCGAAGGCTACTTTCTAAAGTCATCAAATTTGTCACTAGAGACTTTCATTAGAATATATAAACCCTAATTGAAGTCAGCAGTCATTTTCAACTAAACTCATTTTTTGCTTAGTACTCTACATGTGTTCTCACAACTAGTACTTAGATTATATAAATGCAGTCTTTCTTGCAGCGGCGTGTCTCGACTTAATCTTGTAAATGGGGTTTTAGAGGGGGAGCCTAAGACATCAAATCTTTTGCAATTTTTATACTTCACATCAATATAACAAAGACTCAGTTTCTTTCCCTGTTCTTTCTTTTTTGCTTGATCTGTTCTTGCTTGTATCGCTTTGGTGTCACCCATTTAGAACAAAAGATTGATAATAGCTAACCTACTCATTATTTCTTTGGGTCAATTAGATATGGAAATTTGATAGTCTAGAATGATTTTTTCTATTTGAATAATTTTTAAACTTGATGATGCACAACCTAGAATTAAGGTTTGCAAGGTTGTGACTTATGTAATTTTTAGGCTTTCAAATTATATTTTAAAATAAAATAAAAAAACCCCTATTGTTACTATATTTTCAACTCGTGAATAGGTTTTATCTAAATCAAGGTAGGTGTTTTTCATAGGTTTAGGGATTATTGTCCTTTTTGTAGTTCATAATTGTTCTTGTCACAACTATTTAATACTTTTGAATCCTTTATTCATTTTTGTTGAGTGGTAAATGCAAGGCTTTTAGCTTTATTTGATGGAAGTATTTGTCCAAATTTTGTCCATGCTAGTTTTAAGTTCACTTATGTATCTATGTATGTATCCATGAGCGCACATATATATAAATAATATATAATTACCCAATGATGTCGTCTTCCTCGCTCGGCTCTGCTAGGGTTTCGCCCGATGGCGAACCCTAGCAATAGTTTACGGCTTCGCTCTCTCTCTCTCGCTCACATGTTCCCTCTTGGCGGCTTCGTGCTCTTCGTCTCCCCCATTTCGACTACATGTTTCCTCTCGGCGGCTTCGTGCTCTTCGTCTCCCCCATTTCGACTCTGAGACGAGGCTCTTCTCCCGCTCGCGTATTCTGCGGCTCAACCTCGCGCTGCTCGCGATCGCGATTGTTCTCTGTGCTCATTCAGTCTCACCGCATCGTCCCTTTCGGCTATTTCGACGCTTTTTTTCCTCGTCTGCTTTCTTCTTTAAACGTCGCACCTATCCTTGAGGATGACTTCAGACAAATCATATGCAGCTGCCCTTGCCGGTGTTCATGCTTCAGGCACACCAAAATCATCATCTTTCCCTCCATTTGAGTGAGCGAAGGACATCAAGAAACCTGATAGGAAGAATGAGAAACTTGTCATCTTTTTTACAGAAGCTGAATGTATTCAACTTGTTTCCTCCTGTCGTTTGAATTTGGTTGAGAAATTTCTATATGATCATCCCAAATTGGAGCTCATTCGCAAATAATTTGAACTTATGCAGCTTGTTGGAGAATGAAAAATTAGGTTGTTATATGGGAGACCTAGTCTTATTCAAATTAGCAACGAAGAAGATTACATGCGCTTTTTTGCTAGAAGAATAATATGGATTGATAACACAGCAATGCAAATTTTGAAATGGTCTATGAATTTTGACCCACACACGAAATCGCCAATCATTCCGGTTTGAATCGTCTCCCTGGTTTGAAATTTCATTATTTTTCTCAAAAAGTATTGTACTCTATTGTCTCAACTTATGAGAAGCCACTCATGACGGACATTCCCACTTTTAATCTGTTTCGTCTTTTTGAAGCCAGAGTACTTGTTGAAAGAGACATCACTTCACCTGCTTCTGAGGAAATCTAGTTGGACATACAACATCATGAATATTGGCAGAAGGTAGAGATTGAACATTTTCCTTCGTATTGTTTGAATTGTAGTATGCTCGGACACTCCAGTTCTCAATGTTACCATCTACACCCCTAACTCAGACAAAAAAAGCAAACTTCTCCGCAAAAGGCTGTGATTCCATCTCCTCCTAATCGGACAGGCAATATGACAACCATTCAATGCCCAGTTGTAGCTCCCTCGTCTTTGGAACCTCCTATCGTAGGGGAGAGTGAGTTTCTTCAGACCCCACCTGCCCTAGAATCTATCACTGATAATACAGGTGGAAATATTTCTACTGCTTCACAACCGTTTCATCAGGTTCAAAAAGATGTTAATATTACTCAGGCTCATGAGGATCAAGACATGCAACGACCTTCGCCTATCAGACCACCTTTAGAATCTACCTATCGGATGAGGAATGACATGTCTACACATCTAGGAGGAAGAAGAAGAATGAAGACCTACTTAAGCTCAGGAATCAGATCGTGTCTGTGTGTGTCTGTGTGTATGTATGATGAGTCAATCATAAGATGAGGAATGACAGGTCTACACATCTAGGAGGAAGAAGAAGAATGAAAATATATGTCCGTGTATGTGTGTGTGTGTGTGTGTGTGTGTGTGTGTGTCTGTGTGTGTGTGTGTGTGTGTGTGTGTGTGTGTGTGTGTGTGTGTGTCTGTGTGTGTGTGTGTGTGTCTGTGTGTGTCTGTGTGTGTCTGTGTGTGTGTGTGTTGGTGATGGTGTGTCTATGTGTATGTATGTATGTACCGGTGATGACTTCAGACATAACTTATGTTGCTACTCTTGCAGGTGTTCACGCCTCAAGTACTCCTAAATCGTGTTTTTTCCCGTCTTCTTTTGCGTTGCCGGAGGGTGGCGAGTTCTGGTACATCAAGAAAGATGGTAAAAAGAATGAGAGCCAACCATCTTCTTTACTGAAGCCGAATGTAATCAGCTTGCTTTCTCTTGTCGTCTGAAATTGGTCGGGAAATTCTTTTATAACCATCTCAAACTGAAGCTCATACGTAAGGAATTTGAGCTTATGCACCTTGTTGGGGAGTGAAAAATTAGACTTTTAGATGGGCGGCACTTTCTATTCAACTTAACATTGAAGAGGATTACACACACTTATTTGCTAGAAAATTAGTTTGGATTGATAACAAAACAATGAAAATTTTAAAATGGATTGTGGATTTTTACCCACAGACGGAACCACTAACCATACCGGTCTGGATTCGCGTTCTTGGCTTGAAATTTCATTATTTTAATCAAGAAACGTTGTACTCTATTATTGCAGCCTATGGTAGGCCACTCAAAACTGATGTTCTCACTTTTAATCTTTCATGCATTTCAGAAGCAGAGTGCTGATTGAAAGAGACATCACTTTAATCGCTCATGAGGAATATTGGTTAGGCTCACAACATCAAAGATATTGACAAAGGGTAGTTATTGAGTATTTCTCTATGTATTGCCCTAACTGTCGTATGTTCGACCACTTTAATTTTTAATGTCACCTCTTACACCCCATCTAAAATCAAATAAAACAAAGTGCTCAATCCTACTCTTCTCTAAGTTAGTGACACTTTTGATCATCACAAAGTTATCTCTGATCCAAGTAACGCGGTGGTAATCGTACCATCTAGTTCATTGGCAGACGTGACTGTCAGTTTAATTACCTCCGCGGTAATTCTTTCAACTACTCAGCCTCCACATAATGTTCAAGATGAAGGTCCTCTGGTTCCTCCCGTGGAACCTCAGTTGGTGGTGGCAGATGAGACATTTGATGTTGTAGAACCTATCATTGATGCAACAACTGGCAATCTCGTGGTGGAATGCCCAACCATAAGTGTGCCCCAGCCTCAACTTTAACATTCTACCCTAAGTGAGCTTTCTACTGCAGCTCT